TCCAATTAATACAGTTTTAGTTATGATCTAATTTAACATTTTCCCCTCAGGTGATTTTTTTTCCCCTTCTGCATCTATTTTCCTTCCCTTGACATCCAAACATCACTTTGTAGGTTTAGCTCTTCGGGTTAATCCTTCTCAGGCAACTCCCTCCATTTCTCATTAGACGTCAGTGTTTCCCGGGCTCTCTTTCCCTTACTGATTTCTCTCGGGATCCTTATTCCCCAAACTTCATCTTCTATCTGTGTATCAATGTCTCCTGGTTATAGTCTCATCTCAAATCTGTCTCTAGATTTCAACCCCATCCAGCTACCAATGGATGCTTCACAAGTCCTTAAAAGTCACCATGATCTTCTCTCCCACTTCCATGATTTTTATTTTTACTCCAGAGAATGTCACTACTATGAATATTCTTCCCAAGTTAGAGTCTAAGTGTAGATTTTCATTTCTCTCCCCCCCCCCAGCCTCCTCTGCTCAGTCAATCGCCAATTTCAGCCAATATTTCTCTAACCATCCCACATCATCTCCCCTCTCACCAGGCTGTTGTTCCTGTCTCTTCACATAGTGATGGCAAAAGTCTCCCAACTGGTCTCCTGTCTGTGAGTTCCTCACACTCGGTGTCCCTCCAGGTAAACTGGGCTGCACAAAATGATCACACAGAGACAGAGAAATACCTTTTTATTTGGGTCCTGGGAGAGCTCCTTTGACCTTAATGGTCTGCAGAAAGAGAGAAAGAGAGCTGGGGCTGACCCCTTTTATTGGGAGAAGCCATTCAAATGAGGCAAGGGGTCAGGTTTCAGGGGGCTGAGTCCAGCTTCATGCCTTCTGCTGGCAGCAGGTTGACTGACTTCTAGGAAAGGCCAGACCCAAAGGCAGAGCAAGAGAAGTAGACACACAGAGGGAGTTTCCATGGAACTTTCTATCCCAAACAGGGCAATGGGGTAGTATTACAAAGGAGTAGGTGAGTGTGGCTCAATCCCCTGGTGACATGCCTACATCTGAAGACACACCCTCAAGTTCCTGAACCGGGACCACGCCCAAGTCACTATAAAATGTAGTGACGGGTCAGAGCCTCTCGCTTCAGGATGGAAGGCGTGGGTCATCCAGAGTGGCTCCCCACAGTCTCCCTGCCTCGGCCTTACTATCATCCAACCTGTTCTCGGCACTGTTCTGAAATCATCTTTCCAAAATAGAAACTGATAATCATACTCCCCCTTTTAAAAGAATTCAACGGTTCCCCTTGACCACCAAGACAAAGTTCAAACTATGAGCAGAGGACCTGAGACCCTTCTCATTCTCATCTCTCCACATGTCACCACAGAAGTCAATTCTCCACCGTCTGCACCGGTGGTTCCCCACATACACTGTGCATGAGGACCTGAACCCTCTCTCCTCTGAGACAGGGCCTAGGTTTTCCTTCTTCTAAGAACATTTTTTTCCCCTCTGTCCCATATTTCCATGGTCTGCTAGACCACAACCTGCCTTTCAAAACTCAGCCTAGACATTATCTTCTCTGAGAATCCTTTCCAGTTGGGGTTGGGTCTGACTTGAATGTTCCTTAGTGTCCTGTGGGCCCCTCCTTCTTACATTTATCACGTGCATTGCAGTCACTTATTTATTTGTGTGTCCCCCGACTAAAAGCAGAGGCTGTACTGACGTCTTCAGCATACAGTCCAGTGCCTAGCATGAAACACTTGCTCAGATGGAGAGCATAGGGTATGCCAAGGGGGGGATTACTATGACCATCTAATAGATAAAGGTACAATGTTTCCTTGCTGGATACAAAAGAAGAAGAATAGAAACAAAATTACAGCACCACAAAGTTAAAAGGTATTTTCCCAAATTCCAATCTGCTGAATCTTGGGAGAGACCAATGGTTATTGCCACAATCACAGAAAACAACCTTGCTATTCGAAAGCCCACAGCCCTGTCTGAATATACCACTTCTCCTCCCTCCTCCAGCAAGTAAACATTTAATAGCTGTGCTGAACTAAAAAGCTAATGGGGAAGTGTTAACACTAGCAATGTCTTGGTGGATAAGATAATTAGACTTGTTAATGCTCTTTTTGCTTGTCTTTATATATTTATAGATCATGTCTTATTTTTAATAAAGAAGAAACAGCAAAATTTCATTAGGGGGATTATAATCAGCAGTAATGTGGAATAGAGTGGATAAGCATAAGATGAATGATACTTTTTTTTTTTCTTCAGTCTTGAGGATTGTACCCAAGGGTGCTCTTCCACTGAGCTATATCTCAAGCCCTTTTTGTTTTTTATTTTGAGGTGAAGCCTTGCTAAATTGAGATATTCCTGCCTCAGCTTCCTGAGTAGTGGGGATTATGGGCATATGCATGCCACCACACCTAGCAAAGTGATGATACTTTCAGAAGAAGATCGAAAGTGGGGACATAGAAAACAATGCATAAGCAATTTTTTTTTTTAAATTTAGTTCAACCCACAAGCATTGATCAACTTGCTAGCCTCAAGATTTTGTTACAGATGCTGCAGGAAATGCAGGCATGGAGGAAAGTGATGTGAAGAGCTTTCACTGAGTTCCCGGATGGGATGCGCCAGATGGCATGCTAAGGCTCTACCTATGTTATTTTCTATAATAATCACCATAATCTATGAGACAGGTGTCATAATCCTGTGTTTTATAGAAAGGGAAACTGAGGCACCGAGGTTTATCAACGGATCCAAAATCCCAGCTAATAACCCAGGGTGTAAACCTACATGTATCTGAGTCTATCTTCTTGGTACTGCACAAAACTGATCTTGGTAAATAGCTCTAGAAAGAGTTCATGGACGCAATGGTGCTTCTAGTAGAGGCTCAGGGAAGGCTTTCTGAAGGTTCCTGTGGGCTAGCCATGAAAAAGGAGGAGTGAAGACTGGAGCAGAGCTGAAACATGAGTCTGGGGAGAGGCAGAAGCCTTTGGGAATATGACACTGCCAGCCAAGGAAGCCACAGCCTGGATGGGGCCAGGAGCCAAGAAGGGGTGGGTCGGTCTCCTGAGCCTTTTTTAGGTAGGTGGAAGCAGACCGGAAACCAGGAGTTACCAGGCTGAGAAGGCACTGGATCCCAGCCCTTCAGGAGCTCCATCACCGCTGGAGAACAGGGTCAGGCAGAGGGCGGGACAGGCTGCCAAGGGTTGGCGCAGGCGCAGTCTGCTGGGCTGAGCTCCTTCCAAAGGTTCTGTGCTCTTCAGCCGGCTGTCACCCCTCTTTTTAGGGCAAGCTCTGAGAACCTGGCATCTGACCGCAGGAACATTCCTGACCGAAGAAAGAGCCTGAGGAAGGTATATTAAAACAAGGAATAGGTCTCAACTAATAAACGCAGGAATTTTGGAAGTGGTGGAATGTTTAAGAGCTATCAAAGGACAGATCATGTTTTTCTGGGATTTATCATTTTCTTTCTTTCCTTTTCTTTCTTTATTGTTGTTGTTGATGTTGTACCAAGAATCGAACCCTGGGGCACTTTACCACTGAGCTACATCCCCAGCCCTTTCCATGTTTTATTTTGAGACAGGGTGTTGTTAAGTTGCTTAGGGCCTCGCTAAAATGCTGAGGCTGGCCTCAAATTGAGATCCTCCTGCCTCTCAGCCTCCTCAGTAACTGGGATTACAGGTGTGCACCATCATGCCTGCAGATTTATCATTTTTTAACTTCCACCCATGGTCATGGTT